GTGGGTGTGTGTATGTAGGTGTGTGTGTGTGCATGTGTGTGTGTGTGTATGTGTGTGTGTGTGTGTGTGTGTGTGTGTGTGTGCGCGCGCGTGTGTGCGTGCGTGCGTGCGTGCGTGCATGCGCGTGCGTGCGTGTGCGAGTGTGCGCGCGAGTGCGTGTATGTGTGCAGCGAGACATGGAGAATATGGGAGCGTGAGATTTGTTCAGCGTCTATGCTACATCTTCGTGTCAATTAATTACCTTCATAATCAAGCACTGTAATAATAATGCCTTTAAAATCGTACGCATGGGCTATATCATTGGGCATGCCCCCCCGGGGGTGGGGCTTGCCCCCGGACCCCCTTAGCACACGGCCGCCTGTGGCGCCGTATGTGCGTACACATTCTTAACCTAGCTACGCCCCTGGTAAGTCATTCATAAGCAATTTATTTTTACATTTTTTCGCAGTCTATTATAAGATATTACAATGCAAATAGACGCACCCCCAAATTTAGCAGGTAATATTGTGCAAAACGTTTGAGTGATTGATTTATTTATTAATTAGGTCCGCGCCCGGTTTGGCTCAGCCCATGCATAAACCCCACCGTGTATGCGCTTTTCACTGTAAGTACTCTCTCGGCCTACTTATGGTATGCACTGGTACACTGGTATATGTAGCCACTTACCAGCAGCCCTGCCGGCTTATACTTATTAGCAAACACGCACGCGGCACGTATAATTATGCAATTTTGGTTCAATTTAATTTTTTGCTCGCGCCATAGTTATACTAATAGATACCTGTGCCCCTGGTGCTGTTTTAATTTCTTTTCGAAATTTACGGCGTTGAGGCGTTAGAATTGTCGTTTCGTTTCAAATTATTCGAGAGTATATGTGCCTTCTGGGTTAAATGAATAAGTTTCACAATTTAGTATATATTTCCTGTGCCGTCAGACACTATATTTTATGCGCGACACTAGCGCTGATTAACGATAAACAAATGTATAGAGCGTTTCATTCGGTGGTGAGGGAAATATGTGTGAAGCCAAGGCGTCTTAAAGTTAATAAGGTGAGTTAATGGAATAGCGTTTCATCGCATAAAACGTTACGAGAATTTCTGCCCTCTATGTCGAACCTATAATCTCAAGAAAATATGATTGTCTTTAGCAGATGCGCACACACTGAGCTCCGACGCGGTAAGCTTTACCACGTTATAAGGAAGTTATAGAGACACGCAGTTATAAAAAAAAAAGCGAAAAAAGAAAAGAAAAAAGCGAGGCATTAGAATTGTTTTTGTTTTATAAAGAAAGTCATTACATTAGCTAGCTCTCTATTTTAAATGAATATTTTATTAAACGACTATATACATGTATGTCGTTTGCTGTCACAGACGCGCACACACACACGCACACGAGCGCGCACGCACACACACGCACACGAGCGCGCACGCACACACACGCACAGGAGGCCGCTGTATTCTTGCTCCACTCGTATAGTTGTGCGAACACGGTGGGCAGATCATTTGCGACTTGCCCCTTCGTCTGCTCAGAGAAGATTAATAATTGGTAAAGCCCTTTACATTTCAGCCTACGGTATCGACTATCATGCACTCAAATAAGGAAAAGAAAATTGCCAAAACTGTCGTGGAGAATCACTTCTACAGGACTGTACTCACCCTCATTTCTCTCGATGCCACTTTTAAACACAAGTGATCAACAAAGAAACAAGATAGTCAACAGAAAGCTATATCTTGAGTATATATCACAGTTTGTTTTATTACTGCACACTCATGTTATACAGTTTTATAACAGGTGTTATAACGGTTATAACAGTTTTATAACAGGTGAGCTGTTGTGGAAAGAGCACATCATTCTTCCAATTGTTTTATTTTAGTTTCTAGGATCACATGAAATCAATAAATTATTATGAATATAAATTAATATGAATAGTAATCCTGAATCAATCTGTACGGTTTGCATAGCGTGCACAACAAGTGTTTTCTACCCATTGTATTCCATCCAACACGTGAATAATGTGCCTCACATACAGCCACATACAAACATAGCGCGTTTAAAACAAACATAACAGTAACCGTGTTACCTGATATACAAATACATCTAGCATTAGATCTGAGCAGGACACGACAAAGGCAAATAAATATCTGACATATAAAATGACACACAACTGCCTTAAGTGCATAATCGATGTATCATTGTGGCAAGCCTCTCTGTTTAACTATGGCTGTACCAGACAGCCAGTCGATCTGTAAGTGCGAAGAGGAAAGACTACAATCTCTAACATAAGGAACGAACACTTTACAATGACGTGGACACGACCATCCACGCCCTCTAGCGGCGCAAACCTCGAGCCACAATCGAGTCGCGCGTGCCGCACTTGCAAGAGTGCCGCGTCGTACACAGATGGCGCCGCGTGTGCCGCTGCGCGCGCCCGTTCACCTGACGCTGAAGTGCGAGCGCGCGCCACCCGGCTTCTCTTTCAGTCGGGTTCCCGCGCGGCCGAGACAGAGCGGCACGGAGCGGGCGGCGACGTCGGGCCGCTGAGCCCGGGGCGCGGGCTGCGACACGACCGTCAGGTCAGGCTGCCCGGCGCCCGGCGACAGACTCGGCAGCGAGTACATCGTGTAGACACCAGGGGGCGCGTCGCGTCGCCCGTTGGCGGCCTTATGCCCGGTCAGCATCAGAGCGCCGCCGGACTGACCGGCCAGCGCTAGCTCTATGCGGAGGAGAGAAAATTCGTTACGCGGCGGACGAGTGAGGCGGAAACGGTAGAAATAATCCGGGGAGAGAAATAAAGAAATACTTGTGAATAATTTGTGCAAATAATTTGGCAATGACCTGGAAATGTTGGCCCCATCACGTTGCTGTTGAGTAAACGGCAATTTAAATAGCAGGGAACACCTTCCTGAATTACGACAATTACGAAATTCCTGCAACCTACTGGATAATAAATACTAAACTTCGAGTCCTTGGCTACATTTCGATAATCTTTATGTATTAGATATATTCAGGTAGAGTTCTTAGATATTATTAGAGATAGATATTATGCAGTCCTTAGATATATTTCACATTTATATGAGGTACATATTCGAAGGCATGCAACGATTGCCGTTTATAATGTGGAACACCTTCCAATGTTACTATCAAGCTAGCTGAGAATGAAAGTAGGCTAGCAACAGCTGGTAAACTAGTACCATTGGATGGCTTTTTCTGAAGACCACCAGCAACTCTCTCCCACGATCTATTTGAGCTTCGGTCCGGCAAATGCGTGTGCTTGTGGTTAACAAACGCAGCCGAGGGTGATATCTTGTGTGATATATTCTTCTGCGAAAACCTGCTCTGCAAGACGAGTGGCAATGAAGCCTGCACATACAATTCGTGGCTGATTCTTTTGATAAATTTATGGTTAATAGAAATGTAGGGACCCTCTCTATTACGCATTAAATTTCTAAATAAATGCCAACACACCGCGTCAAGAGATTGCAACATGTGCACTCTATCACCACGCATGACTAGAATACAATCGAGTGATCGTATAAACGGCTAACGCTCCATTAGGAGTGTTCCCAACTTTGATATCATCAATGATTAATGATTAAAGATTGATAATCCTAACCCTAACCCTAACCTAAATGACATTAAACCACAAACTAATATATGACCAATGACCATGACCATATATATATATATGTTATTATGACCATTAATGACATTAAAGTTGGGAACACTCCTAATGGAGTATCACCTGTATAAACTGTGGCGATCAGTGGGAACTATACTGAAAGTCAGAAGGTATAAATTAAGTTAGGGGAAAATACATAGTCCCACATAATAACATTTCAGTGATTACATGATAAATTTAAAGCAATAATATAAATTCTTCGTGAAAGAAAGACCACCAAGGTCAAAATATGATGGTCTATCACTAGGCTTTAAGATATTTGAGAATAAGTACAGCATGGCCGATTTCTAAGGCAATATTATATTTTAACAAACCCTGCACATACTCTTTACCCTGTATACTATATCATCACAAAGATATCTATACAATTAGATATTAATGCACAGATTTGTAAATGTCACAATGTATACTGTATACCACATGCAGTACTGAACAATGTATACATACAATCAGGAATGAATAATAACAAAAACCTTCTTTATATTCACTCCTGATACGATATATAGTGTGACATGATTATACGTATGCATATATATATATATATATATATATATATATATATACATATGTCTGTTCACGACAGTATACACATGCATGTTCATGTTCATACCACAACCACTAATTGGTTTGTCAAAACAGAATTGCGGCAAATAATGAAATTTTTGCGAAATATTTCACTGACCTACAAAATCCTAACCTAACGTAATGCTCTATTTGATTACTACTAGATTATTAAAAAGGCACACATCACCTATATACTATGCTTATACAGTCGACACAAAATTATCTGCGCACAGGAGTTTCTTTGATTTTAGTCAACACATACGCCAATAGGAGGTGAGTTTCCCACCATTCCGCGGGTACTGGAGGAGTGCCATACCCCGGCCAGGGCATCGGAGTGGTACCCATGGTCCCGCTGCTGCACGACGCCGCGGCCATACTGGATCGTCTGCACCGGCGACGCCAGCATGTTTCCGCAGTGGTCACTCGTCACCATGTGACCCAGCCCCGTCTGGTTCTGAAACGTCCAGTAGCAGAGCGTGTGACGCGAGGTGTGTAGTGCCTGTTTCCATGTGTGTCTCACACTTCTGCATTTAAATATCGGGTGAAATGTATGTTTAACCCGTGACGGGGAAAAAAGAAATTGAAATTGCTTATTCTTTGAGGACTTATGAGAAGTAATAGGACTACAAAATAGTCAGAAGCACACGATTCTGCAGTAAGCATTAAAGATGATAATGTTTTTTTAATCACAACACGCAGTAGACAGCACCCTGATGATCAATTAAAAAACGAAATCACAATCAACTCTTCTAATATGGTAATCAAAAGAGGCACATTGTCGATCTATTAAACACAGTAAGATCATCTATCCATGAGGAGTCATGCAGGCAAGCATAGGTGGAATACAGCATCACTACCCACTAAAGTCTACGTAATAGATAGCTGAAAAACAATGTTAAAGACAGTAGAGAAGCAACTACGAAAGTTTTATGCAATTACACAATCACCATAGTTAGAGGATTTCAACTACCACAATTCCAGTTTGCATTAGCATTTTCAGAACAATTCACAGCTGGCACCATTGCTTGCGCTACACCTTACAGTTATATGCCGCAAGCTGTGGTATTCTGGTTTGTGTTTACCTGCAAGCTATACGATTTCTAATCAATACAGCCACACCCATGTTAGCGGATACCTGGCTATACAGAACACATCTGGGGTTTCCCTTGACTGACCCTTATATATATATATATATATATATATATTTATTTATTTATTTCCCCTACTATTCAGTAATTAATAGTTTAATACACAAAAATGCCAAATTTAACTGGAAAGAATTCTTAAATTGGAATAATGGTAATAACAGCCCCTTGATCACATAGTATGCGTATTCATCAGATGAAGGAATATGTTTGCTGTACATACATGTCAGTACCAACTACCATATCAGTCACACAAACATCTATGTTATAATGTTAGTATCAGAAAATTATTCTACTAACTTCAAGAACAGAGTAGAGCAAGTCGCAGTGCATACAACACATATACAAATGCATACATGCAGGTAATACAGAGTCACACATTACGACTGGGTTATAGCTGAGATGCAGGAAGCTTACTCACTAGGTCAATGATCGCCAGGTTGCATTTAAAAAACTGAATTTAAGAAAGAGAAGAACACATTTAGATGCTATATACATAAATTAAAACCTACACACGATTTTTTCCACTGTGTGGGTCGGAGGGTTTTGCAAACGTTACAACTGTCTCGCTACAAGGCAATGGCATCGTCTAACAGCATTCAATAATCACATAAAAAAATTCCCTGACATGAATAAATTATGGTTGAGCAATAATTAATAATGGCTGACGAGCAGCATCAGCAGCAGCGCTGGCCTAGCTAAACATGTGCTGCAGCAATTTTTTCAATGTCAAATCTAGTGAATATTAATGCCCATCCTTAAGGCCACCGCACACCAGCCGATTTTTACAAACGATGAAACGATGAAACGATGAAACGATGAAACGATGAAACGATGAAACGATGAAACGATGAAACGATGAAACGATGTAGGTGTGCGGGTTCATTTGTAGACGATTTTATTTTTATCGGGTGATCGTTCCAAAATCAAACATGTTTGATTTTGAACCGATTATTTGGACGCGATTTTGTGGTGTGCGCGTGACCTCAGGAAAATCGTGTGCGATAAATATTGAACAGCCAATAGCTGAACGTGCCCGTGTCACATGACATTCACCTTGCAGAAATTATCGTAGGTGTTCCCCGCACACCTACATCGCTTCATCGTTTCATCGTTTCATCGCTTCATCGTTTCATCGTTTGTAAAAATCGGCTGGTGTGCGGTGGCCTTTACCAGATTGCTGCACAATGACGATTGAATTAGAGGAATCTAGATCGGAATCAATTTTGCCGATATCAACTACCTACAGCACGAATCTCACCAGGTGTGCCTCTCATGGCCTCTATACTAGCTCTCCTCGATTTACTTGTACTGGGACGTAAGAAATCCACCAGAGGAGCCTATACTATTGTATGTGAAACGGAGATGTAGCCGATACATTGTTGCGTATGGCTCACATGTATGCATAATATATAATATGTGAGGATTCGTGAATAATTCAGGGTCTATGTGGAAGCACTGCCACTGAGACTTGGCCAGCCACCAGTGACTAGCCTCAGTGACACAGAAATGATACTGATCTATCCACGAGTTCTTATCGACCCTGTACCAGCAGTCAGTGCAAACACTGTAGTACCAGTTAGTGCAAACACTGTAGTACCAGTCAGTGCAAACACTGTAACACCAGTCAGTGCAAACACTGTACTACCAGTCAGTGCAAACACTGTAGTACCAGTTAGTGCAAACACTGTACTACCAGTCAGTGCAAACACTGTACTACCAGTCAGTGCAAACACTGTAGTACCAGTCAGTGCAAACACTGTACTACCAGTCAGTGCAAACACTGTACTACCAGTCAGTGCAAACACTGTACCACCAGTCAGTGCAGACACTGTACTACCAGTCAGTGCAAACACTGTACCACCAGTCAGTGCAGACACTGTACTACCAGTCAGTGCAAACACTGTGGTACCAGTCAGTGCAAACACTGTACTACCAGTCAGTGCAAACACCTCACTACTTGCCTGTGCTGACAGTGATGTCTTGGTGTCACCAGTGAGTTCTGACACTGATCTACAGATGGCAGGAGCCAATACAGGCACTGATTCTATATGTCACTAATGGGTCCTGGCTATGACCTTATGATGTCACCGGCCTCATAATGTCACTGATCTTATGACGTCACCAATAAGTGACGGCACTCACCTCACCGATTTCTTGATGTCATTGATAAGAGCTCGCCACTGATATTATGACACCACCGATTTCTTGATTTCATTGATAAGTGCTGCCACTGATATCGAGATATCACCGATCGGTGCAGCCACTGATATTACGATATCACCAATCGGTGCTAACGGCGAGTGCATGGGACAACAACGCGCGTCTATTAAATACTATTAAATTGATAAGTGCTGCCACTGATATCGAGATATCACCGATCGGTGCAGCCACTGATATTACGATATCACCGATCGGTGCTGGGACTGCGTGATTGCGCGTCATGCGCGCGTGGGTGCGTCGTACCTGCTGCGTCGGCCAAGCTCCGTACATCGCGTGGTACTTGGGGCTGAAGAGTCGCTGCACGTACTCCACGATGCCCGTGCCGCGCACGAGGTGGTCTCGCTCCAGCAGCCCCATCACACGCTCCATCTCCTCCTCTTCCCCGATGTCGAGCGGCAGCGACGTGTCCACCTGCCACTGCGGCGGACCCTGCGCGCGAGAAACGATCGCCGCGACGACGGCGGGTGAGGAACGCGTGCATCGAGCGTAATGAACTCGTTCAGCATTTGTTTGAGACTCTCGCAATCAGTGAGATAGTACGACACATTACGTATATAAGTCTAGGTGTAAGTATAATGCGTGCAATTTGTACGTGTGACAGGTTAAATCTCATTAATCTACAAGGAGATGATTCGGCAGCTTTGATAGTTTACAAAGTCGATTTGTATCTGGCAATTATGAGCTTTATTTACTAATCTGCTTATTCTTCGATGGCATGAACACGGATGGAGTGGATGACGGAGCAGGAATTGCAGGAGTAAAAGAGATCACCAGGAATGTCATCATGAATAACCGAGCACATAATGATAACTCGAAAAAAATTTGAACAAGTTTTCACAAGGACCCGTTCTTGAGGCGTCGATCCTCAATGATGTCAGCGATGGTGGGAAGGGATCGGGAGCGTACTTTCGTACCTGGGAAGACTGGGTTGATAGAGCGGCCAATCTCTTGACGCGCGTTGCTTCGCGCGGGTAGGCAGGCCTGCGCACCCTCTGCTTGCTGCGTGGGCTCTCAGGTCGACCAGAGGGGTCATCGCTTGCTTTTACGCCTGCACCAAACAGAGCAACGTTGTCACTGTACAGTCATGCTATCTAATGTAGACGTTGCCAGCAAGCGATCAACATACAGGCTCAACAAGCGAGAAGCATGCGCACTTAACAAGCGAACAACATGTAAACGTGAAAAAAATGCACTGACAACGAGCGGCTGGCGCACTTATTAAAACAAGTGCCGCATAGCGACAGCGCTCATCTAACGTCTACTGCG